GAGTCGGATCAATGTTTTTGTTAGCTTGTGAGTGGTGAATATGTTGCGTTTGACGCAAGATTCATCTCTCATTGCTTTTTAACGGTGGCTACTTTTTTAATTATATTTTTTTATTTGATTCAAAACGTGCATAATTCTTTAAATTTGTATCATCTATGAGCAAACATTTTTCTTTTAAAATTTGATAACAATTGTAAGTTGTATTAAAGTGATGCAAATTTAAATTTTCAATATAAAATATAAAATTTATAACTAGTCCTTTTATTCATAAATTGTTAATAGCATGTCTCATTTTTCAAATTTTATACAATAAAGTTCAATCTAATTTATATGAATAACATTTTATTATTTATTAATTATTAAGAGCCGGGGTTTAAACAACCCTGAATCACTTGCTCAAGTGACTGTTAACAAAAGCTTCTATTACTTATACTAACTTTAATTGGCTATGTTTGATTTTCTCAGAAAGAATTAATCATGCTCCCCTTGAATATCTAGTTAAAAAAAAAACAGTAAACGTTTTATATAGACAAAGAAATACAATTAATATAAATAAATATGTTTGAAATTCAATTTTTTAAAACACTCTTATTATTATTATTATTGACATGGGGATTATGTATTTAATGATATTAAATTAATTAGACTCCTTCAATGAGGGTAAATTATTTTTTAATAAATGCAAGAAATAATAGGTGGTTACTCCCTCTGTCTTTATATATAGAGAAAAAACCATATTATATAATTAAAAAAATTAGTTAACTATAATAATTATATTTAAAAATAAAAAAAATAAACTAAAATACCTTGTGTTGATTAATATAAGCATGTGTTAATTATTTATCGTTAATATAAATCATGAGGGTAATTTAAAAAATCTTTAATAAATGCTAATTGAGATATGTGATTATGCTTATGAAAAATAAATTAAAAGTAATAGTTTCTCTAATAAATAAAAATAAAAAGGGTATTATTTAGCTCCAAAAGAGATACTTATTCTTTTTTTTATACCAAAAGAGGTGTCATAAGCATTTTCTAAAAGTCATGTTTGGTTCAAAATATAAATTATTAGATAGTTTTTAATATTTTTCCTAGATACACTCTTCATTTTTTTTTAAAAAAATAGTCCGTTCAAATTTTAGTTATCACTATTAAAATATCTGTATATGTTTTTGTAATTAATAAAAGCATAATTGAACAACATAATTTTTTAAAAAAAAATTAAATTTTAAATATTTTTAAAAATAATAAAATAATTATTAATATCCTATATTATAATTTGGATAGAGTATTACATGAAGTATTTAACTTACTCATACAATTGAAAGTTCAAAAAAATTAAATGCAATTTGAATTTTTATGTCATCAATGTGATTGAACAACCGCGCGAATGGGTTGTCTTTGTTACTTCCTCTGTTCATCAACAGTTATGAGAATTAATGCTTCCCATTAATTTCATTCCTCTCTTTACTGTTCTCTCTCAACAACTTTCACCATTTGTACAAACCATGTGCTTGGCCTACCAAATTAAAAATTACTATATTACTATAATTAAGTCATATTCAAAACTAATGTGCATATCCTTAATCTGGTTCTACATATACTATAATACTATGCGCATATCCTTAATCTGGTTCTACATAAGTCATTTTTAGTTATTTTGTTATAATTAAGGAAGGATAATTAAATTATTGATATTATCTGGAAAAAGAAAAGGATTCTCAGTTCACCTTTATCAACTGCATGCATGTCTGCATCATCTTTAAAAACATTTTATCTCGTACACAATTTTTTACTATACTCATTAAAATTTGTGAAACGGTAAAATAAAAAAAAAATAATTCATCTTTTTGTACAAAGTAACTTACAAAAAAGTCTTTCAACTTACTCTAGAAGGTGATTTGTATATATGACCAGAGAAAGCATGTCTTAAGTTCATTATGCTTAAATATTTTTAGTTAAGTGACTAATTTTAAGATTTTGATGAGTAGAAGAACCACCTAATATGCTCCGAACATTCGCACATGCAATTTTAATTAAGAGCCTTTCGCTAGAGCATAGACTTGGATCATTTTAATTAAATTAACCACCTTCATATAATTTTTACTCTAATTTCTTGTCCCTATTTAACTTTTAAAATATGATGTATTTATTATCAAATATAGAAGTTTTTGCTTTGCAAAGTCTAAAGTAAGTCAAATGATTCATAATCTATGAATAACGTAGCTTGACATAATTTTTTTTTTAAATTAAAATACAAAAATGCTCTTGAAGTTTCCAGCTAAACACACCCTATATATTCTAAACCATTTTTTTAATGCAATTTCATTTCAACCTTTTTCATTTAGGTACAATATCACCCTATGATTAAGTTTGACCCTAGTTGACTGTTAAGTCAAAGAGTTTGACTGTTATCTGCAACCCAGGTGCCACGTTGATAGCCATGTCACTCTCTTCTCTCCCCTTCCATTCTAAAACTCCAAACCCTTCGTCCCACTTCAATCTCTAACTTCCTCTCTCTCCACCTCTCTCCCTTTGCTCGATCTCCCAATCTTATTCCTTCCCTCCCTTCATAGCTTACCTCATTTTTGGATCAAAGCCACAAGCCATCCAGATCAAAGCCCCCGCACATCTTCTTCTTCTTCTTCACCTCCCACGCTGCCGTGGACGAACTCAATCACGCATCTCGATCTCAAATCTGTGGGTGGTGGTTTCCTTATCTTTGGATCACCTTGACAGTGCTGACTTAAGGCTGAGAAGAGAAGATGAAGGTGTCTTAAGCCTGAGTAGTGCGACGGAGCTAGATCATGACATGGTTCACCCTTCCCCTTTCGCTTTGTGTCATCGTTACATGTTCCTCTTCGCGGCTTTGTTCCTCCTTTATTGACTCTTATCAAAGTCTCTCAACCTCTCAACTCTCGTCTCTCACTACATTGTTCAAATCTCAGTGGCTTAGGCATTCAGATCTTAGCAGATGCAACCATCGGGGATGAGGGAAGGGACGAAGAACAAATCTGGATTTTTTTCATTATTCATATTTTTTATTATTCATACACAACTACAATTCTATTTTTTTTTTTGTTTCCATTCCTATTCTGATTATTTGCACTCTGATTCTTGTTCAAGTTTGCTAGTGGAATTTTTATGTTTGTGGTTTACTGGAATTTTTAGGTAAATGCTAGAATTCTTGGTTTTTATGGTTTGTCCTTTGTACAATCAGATTGTGGTTTGCTGGAATTTGTGGCTTGTTGGTTGCACCGTTGCAAGAACAGGAAGAGGAACAGTCGAAGAGGGGAGAAGAAGGATTGATCTGTAATCTGAGTTGGATTTTTTTCATTTTCTTTTTAATTTTTAATTACTAAAATATGCCATGTGGCTACCAGCATGGCAAGTCCAGGAAGGAATGAAACGGTCAAAATTTCATAAATAACGATCCAATCAGGCGAAAGCAACGGCAGGGCAACACTGTACCCAAATAAAAAATATTGGGGGTGAAATCTTGCTAAAAAATAATTTAAAATACAGGGTGCGCCTCATTGAAAATTTCGAAGGCATTTCTATACTTGAATACTTTTTTTTTTATAAAATATATTTTTTGCACGTTGCACTAAATTTAAAAACTAACTCTCACTTTGTTCTGTCTAATAAATAATATAACTGTCGGTAAAAGGAAAAAAAAAAGATAACTTGTTATAACTTTTATTCCTCAATGCTTGAATTCAAAATTTACTTTTAATGTGAAATGGGTTTGAAATGGCAATTTCGAAGGTAATATAGATTATAGACTCAACTTTTTCAATTGCCAACACATTCCACCACAAAGACAAAGCAGAGAATTTTACCTAAACTATATACTCTCTTTATAGGTTATGGCTAATTACATATATTAATACCATTAAGATATATAGTATCAGAATTTCATATAGAGAATCATATTCAATATTTTGCCCCAGATAGGATTTGAAGTTTCCCTCCATTTTATTTTCATAATAAAAGCATACATAGGATTTTAAAGCTTGGAATAATATGCCAAAGGATCAAAAGAATTAGTACAAAGTTGATTGTTAGCGACTTCTAGGATTGTTACAATTTAAATGGGGTCTCCACTTTAATTAGTAAAGAGAGATTCTTAACTACACTTTTTGCACTAATTGAGTTTGTGCAAAAAGTGATGGGTAATTTCTTTTATTTCAAATATCTACCTTAACAATCTGTTTTACACACCTAGTTAGTGTATACTACACACTAACCAAAACTTTATCATTAAAAACACTATCATGTTCAAACTCATTTATTATTAAATTGATGGAGAAAGTGATAAATACACATATCATATAATTAAATTGTTTGTCTTGAGTATATCGATAATAAATATAAAAAAATCTTGCTCACACAAATTAGAACAAAGCAAAAAAGAAAAATGTTTCGTGTAATTTTTTTGGGGTAATGGATGGTTCTCGTGTTTCTATTTAAATTTTAAAAACAAAATTAGTAGGAATGGGAGACATCTCATCTCAATTTATTATAATTCTATAAATAACACAACGAAATATCATCAAAGGTTAAACTCAACATCATTGTATGTATTTAAATGGTAAATAGTTTAACTATATACATTTATTCAACTAGGTAAGAAGACCTTTCAGTACATTTTTTTGGTGAGCAAATGGAGAGTTAAGTCCACTTACAAGAAATTATCTCTCTTGACATATTTAAGGTCAATGATATATATATTTTTTAATTAAATTACTACACGCATAAAAATTGTGATTTAAAATCCCAATTTCTTGGTTAAAATACGAGAATTCTTATACTCGTTGTAAAAATAAAATTAATGCATATAAAAAAGCATCTGGAAATTTGTTGACGAAACAAAAGTATCTTGAAAATTGAAAAATGTGAAGAAAGAATAAACTAAAATAAAACTGGGGTACTCCAGAGGAGGATAAGACAGAGCATTGAAGAGGTATGACGGAGCCTAGTACGGTAGCCAATTATGCCTGAGCCAGCCGATCCTTTTTCACGCTATTCCTCAATCCGAAGGCACTTACAAACACCCCTTTGACACTCTCTTCCCTCTTAAAACTAACTCTCTCTCTCTCTCTCTCACTGTGGGAGAGAGGCTCGAAAACCACAAACTCAAGAGTCTCTTTCCTGGCTCCACGAAACAGAGTCCCCTGTTCCATTCTCAATCACTAGAATGAAGTATATCCGGACCAGCAGCCTCAAGAGGCTTTTCTCCTTGCAACGACGCAGTTTCGAGGAGAAAGTTCCCACCGGCGATGAAAAAGACGAGAATTTGCTGGTTATTGCGGCCCAGGAACAACCTTCTCAGAGACCCACTTGGAAATGCTTCTCCTACGAAGAACTCTTTGACGCCACCAATGGCTTCAACTCAGGTGATTCACTGTATTCTCCTTTCTTTCTCTGTTTGTTTGTTTGTTAGCGAAAGTTGACACTTTTCTTATGTGGGATCAGATAATTTGGTCGGCAAAGGAGGCTACGCGCAGGTTTACAAGGGGACATTGAAAGATGGGTACGAGATTGCAGTGAAGAGGCTCACGAGAACTTCGAGCGATGAGAGGAAAGAGAAGGAGTTCTTGACAGAGATTGGCACAATCGGTCATGTTAACCATACAAATGTATTGCCTCTTCTGGGTTGTTGTATTGACAAGGGGCTTTACCTCGTCTTCGAGCTCTCATCCAAAGGCTCTGTCGCCTCTCTTCTTCATGGTAAAAATCGAATCTTTTAATTGGTGCAACCAAAAAAAAAAAAAGCTTGCTATGTCATCTGGTTTTGCAAAAATTTTGGTGTTGTAGATGAAAACGTGCCTCCTTTGGACTGGAAAACCAGATATAAGATAGTTCTGGGGACTGCACGTGGCCTCCATTACTTGCACAAAGGCTGCAAAAGGAGGATAATCCACAGGGACATCAAGTCCTCAAACATTCTATTAACGTCAGATTTTGAACCACAGGTGTGTATAGCTAGCTAGCTTTCTTGTCTCAATCTCTTGTTCTTCCAATTACTTTCATGTAACACAGTTTCATCATATGTTAATCAGATATCAGATTTTGGGCTGGCAAAATGGCTTCCGAATCAATGGACTCATCATTCCATAGCCCCAATAGAGGGAACATTTGGGTACCAACCTTTCTTCTTCTTCTTGAGAGACACAGACTTGGCCAGGTTTTTCATTTTCTTTCTTTCTTTCTTTGTTTTTTGTTGCAGACATTTGGCACCAGAGTACTACTTACATGGAATAGTGGACGAGAAAACAGACGTGTTTGCTTTTGGGGTTTTCTTGCTCGAAGTCATCTCAGGCAGGAAACCGGTGGACGGCTCTCACCAAAGCTTACACAACTGGGTAAAGTCTTTTTGCAAAATACTGATAAAAATCTTTGTTCTTTTCTTCTGAACTTGCCGTGTTGTGCAGGGAAATGAAATCCCATTTTGTTTTCTTCCAGATTTGGACTTGCACAGATATTAATAGTATGACTTTCCTTTTTGTTTCTTTGTTATGGTTCGGGTGAATCAAACAACAGGCAAAACCATTGTTGAACAAAGAGGAATTAGAAAAGCTGGTAGATCAGAGGCTAGAAGGAGCCTACGATGTAGCTCAATTACAAAGACTTGCCTTTGCAGCTTCTCTCTGTATTCGAGCTTCTGCAACTTGGCGACCTACCATGAGCCAGGTAGTTCAAGCGCATTTGCTTCCTCATAATTTCTGGATAATAAATTAATAAGAATATAGTAATATTACAAGGTTATGAAAATTGGACTAATTATTGAATCGTTCAAACCTGATTTAAGGATCAATGGTTGAAACTGTAAGTTAACTTTAATCAAACAAGTCATAAATAAGGTATTTTATTTGATTAATTTAATTATTTACTGTTCTGATTGAACGGAATGAGTACAACCTTATTAGTCATTTATGAAATATACTGTGGCTATCAGTTGGTCAAATTTATACCCGTAAAACCTGAAAACTACATCAGGACTAATTATATATTTAAATTGACAACAAGATTCGAAGTATTAAATGTTTATATATATATGTGTGTGTGTGTGTGTGTGAGTGTATCTCTGTCTTTATCATCTCAGTGTAATTCTTGCTGTATGAAGCATGAGGACTTCGAAAATGACTGGTGTAAATGTTGACACGTACTACGTGGTAGATACTTGTATCAAACATGCCACTACGTTTGAAATTACACATACTTAACAATTTTATCTTTTAAGCATTAATGAGGTTCACGGGTTCTGCCTCAACCACTTCTCAGGCCATTGCCAGTAGATCTAAGTTTCATCTTTAATTAAATATTGATTACTTATCAGTTAGTTTATATAACCTAATCTCTATTATATGAGAGATTGGTGCCTGATATAAACTAGCCTTTTAGGCTTTTTAGCCATTTTTTTCCTAGAAAAATATTCACCAACTTCATTTTGGTCATCAAACCGAGAAAATACAAGACAGGCACAAGTCAAAACCACCACGTTATTGCATTAGATCCACTATATTTCACACATTCTTATAAATATCTGTGACTCGTCCGCTTGACACACACACACACACGTATATTTGTTTAATTCCCTCTTTGTCACGTGGAACATGGAAAATTTTATTCATTATTTTTAAAAAACCTAAAACCTCTTCCTGCTAGGAAAAGGAATTTGAACTTCGAAAGTGTTCTTTCTTGAGAGAAAGATAAAGGAAAAAGCACTTGGAACACAAACTGCTTTGGTATTTCTTGTTGGCTAAAAAGTTTATACCTGAAAATGATTTACTGTGAGTATTTTTTTAACTCTCTGGGAATCTTTCTCAAGCACACAGTTTTCTTCTTGCTTAGTTCACTTGTTTCACAAGCCTTATCATTTTGTTGTATATTGTATTGAAATTAATAATTCCCTGAGATATCAAAATCTAATTATAAGACTGTTACGTAATCTGTCATTTATTTAATTATATGATAACCATTCACGTCGTTTTCAGCATTCATGATTGTAATATAAGATCATAGATTCAGTCCAATTTTCTCTGTGCTATTGTCATTCTGTTGATTTCCTTTATTAATTTGGTTTTTTTCCCATTCAATTTGATTAATCTGTTGATGTTCCATGCCACCAAACCTTAATCAATATAATATGCTAAAAAGAGTGCAGGAAATCTGGCAATCTCATAGTCGATCTGAGTATTAAAATTTGTTGGGGGTTCCAGTTTCATAAACCTTAAGCAAGTGATCATTATATTATTCATTAAGCAATAACACCAAATGAGCCAATTAATATATAGGTCAAAACCGGAGTACGTTCATTGATTTAGTTTAAAAAGGAAGTGAATGAGAAAAACTCTTGTGGACCTCATTTTCCTTTTGGGAGTCACTTAATTAAAGTGATCATTTTTGACATTATTAGACATAATTAATCATACCCTTTATTTTGATTATGAGTTCCTCTCCTAGTATCAGAGAGTTTGTGGGAGAGAAAAAGATTAAGGGAAGTGAGATTTGGACATATAGGCGACTTCATTAAACTCCATTACACATCTCTCTCTCTCTCTCTCTCTCTCTCTCTCTCTCTCTCTCTCTCTTTCACACATATTCTCTGATGATTGTCATGAAACAGTTTCTTGATTGACCTTTGATCATTTTGTTCATTATATAGATGCTATACATTTACATTTTCATATATATATATATATATATATTTTCAACCTTGGCTTTGTCGTCAAAGTTAAATCTTGGCTCTATCTTTGTTGTGCATTGTACGAAATCTAAATAATGAGTTGTATTGTTGGCACTAGAACTTGTATATGTATATATATATATATATATATAAAATATTGGATGTTGATTTTGTTGTTTGTAATATGTTACAGGTATTGGAGGTGATGGAGGAAGGAGAAATGGACAAGGAGAAGTGGAAGATGCCAGAGGAAGAAGAAGAACAAGAAGAAGAATTCTGGGGATTTGAGGATCTGGAATATGAATATGAAAGTTCATTCTCTCTGTCTCTACCAGACTCCATTAGAAGCAGCTCATAATTAATTGTTTTGTTAAGCATCACTTTCAAGCTACCTGTAAATAAATATACATTTATATTCATATATATCATCTTCTAAAGATTCAGATATGGGATATGGCTATTGCATGTGCTGCTTAATTCTGCTGCTCATCCTACCTAAGCAATCTGAATGATCTCCATTTGACATTGCCCTTTTTGCCCTTTAAATTTTGTGACTTGTAATAGTTATCTCAATGATAATTCCATTATCTTGCTAATTAGTAATTCCTATGCCTTTCATCAGATCAATCCCAATTATCTTGATAATGATATGCTTCAAGACTGTGTCAAGAAATTGAAATTAGGGTCTAATAAGAAAATTATTCCAAGATCTTAGTTTATTTTTATTTTGTCAACGTATCAGTCCTCACTCATCATTTTTCCAGTTTTTAGCAGTGAAATTAATTATCAAATTATGTAATGGGGGGTAGACATTAAAGGACCAATGTATTGAATTAAAATTAAATAAAGATTAAAAGATTTGGAAATTCAAAATAAAAATTAAAAGTCCTTTAATGAATTCGCATAAAAATATTTTACTTTTCTTTCATAATTTGTAACCCTCAATAAAAATTTAAAAGTGAGATTTGCTACTTTGTAAAGAAAAATTTGTCAAATATATCATTGTTTTAAAATCGTTTTCTTTCAAAATTAATGAATTTTACATGCAAATTTGTATTTTAAAAATTGAAAATAATTGAACAAGTATATGTGAGTTGTAAATTATTAGAAATAGTGATATATTTGATAATTTTTTTCTTTATTAATTAGTAAATTTTACTTGAAAATTCTTGTTTTGATTATTGCTAATTATGAAATCAATCCCCCTTGTATAATTTCATTCATCTTGTGAAGAAAAGGTTTAATTTGTAAAATTAGATGCAAGAAGAGTATAAAACTGTTACGTGAAGCAGGGAAGCAAGTTGAATCGGTCAAATTTTCTTCATGATGTGACTTCTTTATAAGCCCCACATTTAAAATGAGGGTTTTGATTTTATTTTTTTTCCCCTTCACATCACTGGTGCAATATTGATGACTGGTGCTAACAAAATTTTAAAAAATAAAATATATTATTAAGGAAGTTAATTTTCAATTTGGTACGATTATCACTACATTAATTAATAATATAAGGTTGATTAAAAGGAGTGAAGTTGATAACGTTGGAAAACATGTTTGACATCGACTCAAACCGTTGACTAAATTTTAAATTGAATTTTGTAAGCCTTAAAATTTCCAAGACCAAGTTTGAATTTTCAAATTTTTTTCTTTGAATTTTCAACATTTTGAATCGTTCAATTTCTGAATTAATTATATTTTCTAGGTCGTAAAGTCTTATTAACAAACACTCCTATGAATTAATGACGTGTATCAAGCATGAAAATGGATATAAATGCGAGTGTATATAATTGTCAATGAACGGTGACGTTAGCAAGTATTATAAATATTGCTGTGCCAAAAAAAAAAACCAAGTACTATAAATATTATATACAATGTTATTTCGAATGTAATGAGAAATTTAATATTATATTAATTTCACGTAGGGCATGTTAATTATCTTTATTAATTATACATCTGCAAATAAGTGATCAATAGCTTGAAGAATTATCGAAGTCACCATACTTTTTTTAGGATCACATTGGAATCGTTAATTTTTGAAAGATTAAACTTTCACCGACTTAGAGAAATTTTTTGTCTTTAATTTTGTAATTTGTCTCTTTCAGATTGTCCAGCTCAAATGACTCAATCGTTTACTGTCAATATGTTAAGTTAATTAAAAGAAAATTTAAAGATCTACTTGATATTTTCTAACATGTTAATTGACTTATACGTTAACTCTTATGGTTGCCGTCAAAAGTTTAGTTATACAGATAGATTCAATCTATTCTTTCTTTCTGCCGTCCTAGTCTTATTTATAGTATAGAAAGAATAATTTTTTGATTCAAGGTCAAAAAAAGAAATAAATAATTTTTTGATCTTATACCTATAAGGCATGTCATTAACATTTTATTATAAATTTACCTTTTAATTTAATTTTCCCTTCTATTAAATGTTGGTGAAAAATATATTTCTTTCATTAAAAAATATAAGGTATTTTTAACCAAATCTCATTTTCTAATAAAATAGTTATTCACTTTCAAACTAATTCTATATTTTTATATTTATCCCTATTAAATACTCTATAATAAATATAAAGTAATTATTAATAAAAATACTTAAAAAAAAGCAATAACTTTATCTCAAAAAATTAAAATTACTTTATATTTTTTAATATTCAACTTTTTAAAAATACTTTATATTTTTGAATGGAGGAGTATATGTTATCAAAGTATATATATATATATATATATATTTAATGGCGGGCAATTTAAAAACTTATTAAATTTTTAAATAAAATTAACATGTTTTGAAATTTTTTTAATTTTAATGAAATATGTTAAAAATAATTTATACAGCATGAAGTTAAGTGGAGGGTACCTAATTTGAGGCCATTACATTAATAAACTAAATATATACTCTTTTCGTTAAAAAATATAAAAAATTTTTAAGGAGTTAAATATTAAAAAATGTAAGGTATTTTTAATCTTTTAAGGTGTAATTATTTTTTTTTAAACTATCTCTATTAATAATGACTTTATATTTATTATAGGATGTTTAATAAAAAAAATGAAAAGATAAAGTTATTTTAAAAGTAAGTAATAACTTATTGAAAAATAAAATTTAATTAAAAAATTTATATTTTTAAACAGTGTGAGTATATAATTACCAACCATAGGTATTCATTTGTTTATTTATTAATTGGATAGTTTAGCCTATAGTATTGTAAATAATCCATATACGATAGACCCCCGCGCGCGCGCGCGCGCACATCGCATATGGGCTGGCATGCAAGTTGGCATGTGCCGTTATCGCCATGGAAGGCCCAGTGATGAATTGGAAGCTGTCAGACCTACGTGTAATCAAAATCAAATTAATTATCATTTTCTTTTCACATTCCGTATTCTTTCATTGGGACAATCATGTTCGAGTTTTTATGAGGCACTAAATATAGGTATTATTTTGTTTTTATTTATAAAAAAATATCATTTTTATTTTTTTTATATAAGTAAAATTATATATTTTAATAAATATTTATTACACATTTTTTAAATCACCTCTCATGATTTACATTAACAAAAAATAATTAATGTATGCTTATGTTGATTAACATAGAATATTTTAGTTCAGTTTCTTTATTTTCAGACATAATTATTATGATTAATCAATTTTTTTAAACTGTGTGATATAGTTTTTTTCTCTTAATAAGAATTCAAATCTTGAATCACTAAGCTTTAACTAACCTTTTTGGTTAGACCTAGCCTTGAAGGTAATTAAGTATCATAAGACCTCACATGTATACATATTAATATTCACTATCACAGTGCCATTCAAAATTAGCAGTAATTAAAAGATTAACACCAAATAAGATTCTCATATATTTTGAATTCTATATCCAGCTAACTACAAGCCAGATATATAAATATGCTTTGATTAAATTATGCTTTGGAGTATGAAATTGTTCCAATGATTTTTTGGATTAATCCTCTTAGCCGATACTCTTTATAAATTGTATAAAATTCCCATGAATTTGGATCAAGTAATTTTACATTTTTAAAAAATCAAGGTAGTTTATCGTTTACACACACACACACACAAGTTTCAAAATTGGAATGATTAAGAAAAACGAAATTTTTGCTTAATCTTTTGATGTATTATATCTTATTTTGTTTTTTCTATATGCTAATTTCCAGAGGAGGGCTTCTTCAATATTATGAGCAGGCTCACAGACTGTGTGTAATGCAAAATCTCAATTATATTAATTTAGCAGTATCATTAAATTCACTATTAATATTATATTGTACTATACGAATTAAGGTGGTCATTCATAATGATCTCTGTATGAATTTGACAACGGTCAAACTTAAATTAATTAATACTCTTCTGATTTTATTTATAAATCACTTTTAATATGTTTCATCAATATTAAGAAAAATTTTAAAATTAATTAATTTTATTTTAAAATTTAATAAGTCATCAATTTCACCCCTATTAAATATACACACTTTGATAACATATTTTTTCTCTTCAATATTCGATAAAGTGTAAAAAAATTTATGATGAAAGTTTAATGACGTGATTTATAAATAAGACTAAAAAATAATTCTCTTTCTACCTTATAAATAGGATCAGATGGAGTAGTAGGGAATATTATATTTTTAAAACTTTAATATTAAATTAATTATAGGGAGAATTTCAGTTAAGGATCAGGGAAGAGACTTAGTTTCAAGTATGTTCAAAAATATTTTAAAATTTTAGTTCAATCCATGAAAGAAAAGTTAAAAGAATTTCAAAGGTGAAAAGATAAAAATATCTTTCACTTGTTATGTAAAATTATTGTTTGTTAATTTTCTTACTCTATTTATTAATTTACGAATATGAGCTGTAAATTATATGAGTTAACATGTCAATAATTATATAAAATTTAACATCAATTTTTTAATCATAAATAGTAACATCAGTTGTTAAATAACTAACTTTACTTGTTAATTTACTAATATTAATTGTAAATTATTGACAGGTCTTATAATTTACAACTAATATTAGCAAATTAATAAGTAAAGTTAGTAATTAATAATAAATGTTACTAATTATTTAACTAACAGATATAATTTATAAGTACTATTGGTAAATTAATAAGTGATATTTTTGGACGCACTTAAAATTAAATTTTTTCCCTTAATTATAATTATAATGTTAACTTTGGCCAGAATATGGTATATTATTAAGCAATAAATGTAAAAACTATTTTGGTCAAAATGGACGTACGAAATCATAATTTTTTAGTCGAAGAATTGATTTATTGATCAACATTAAATGACGGTCGATTAATATAAATATAGAATACAAAAGTCTTGATTAAAAATTAATATTGAAAAGATATATATGTGCAAATAATTTTATGAGTGGCAGTTGAGGAATGGACAGTCATGGACTTTTTGGATCCACGTGATATTATTTCAAAACGAATTTAT